CCTAAAGTGAGATAGACTTAAAAGCTTGAACTTGGGTAGGAGTGTCAGGAGTTGCTCAAATCCAAACGGTTGAGGCAGGCAGTGGAGTGTAGGTGAAATGTACGTGTCCCTGGCACTGCAGTGTGTTCATAAAGGGCAGTGTGAGCTTGCACAGCCTGCCTTTGCACTGAGAAGCAAGCTGTGCTTCATATGCTTAAATATGCCACCTGACTGCCAGTTTGAGCCCATGTTTCCAAGTCTTCTGTAAAATCTGTAGGCACCATGTTTGGTAGTCGCAGCATCTGAAGCATTTCTCCTGTATAAAGATCCATGCTCCATCTGGGTGAGGAGTTCTTGGATCAGTCCTGTGCACTGAACACGTGCCACGGCAGTCGGACCCAGCCCTCCTCACAAAGCCTCGTCCTGCTAAGCCCATCCTGCTCTGCCGTGACAGCCAGAGGGCAGTTCTAGTCTGCTGCTGGGTCTCCTTGGCCATGGCTGCAGCAGGAGCTGGCAGCTGCTCCCTCTGCTTTCCTGGCTGCTATCGGCAGCAGGGCAGAGCTGGTGCTGGGGAGGTGTCTCCAGAGAACAGTGAGAGCCTGAAGCAAACAGCCCAGAGATGTAAAGGTGACCTGTAGAAAGCTGGGGTGCTGCTGCTCCTAACTCAATGAACAGGATTTAATTGTCTAGAATGATACATCTGGTGCTGTGGGCATTATTTTAAACAAGGAAAGCAACCCATGACTTGGTGGTTTAGCGTAGATCCTGATTTGTCCTGGTAAAGTGGCCTCATGGTTTCTGAAGAGCTGGAAAAGGGTGGCAGCCTGGTGTCCTGGAGGTGCTGTAGTGCAATCTCACACAGCATCTTCATTAGATCTGCTGCAGTATTAATTGGAAAACTCATTTGTAAGCAATGACGGTTCAATAAGGAAGTCTGCTGAACTGAAATAGAAACTATAACACTTGCAGCAAAAACACCTTTTATGTGCTTGCTGCCCACACAGAGCTGCTGACTAGAAAACCAAGAGATTAAAAAGGTAATTGGCATGCTCCTGTCCTGGAACCTGCTGTCAGGCACTCACCTGATTCATGTAGGCAGACCATCACCTGCTGTAATTTTGCCTAATGATTACAGGATCAGGCTTTAATTCTGTCTGTGTGCAGCTGGATGCCTGTGCTGAGTGCAGCCAGGTGAGGGGAGGAACCTGTGTGCAGAAGTGACTTCATTTTCTGGAGTGGCTCACAATTTTTTCCAGTCCATTTGGGTAGAAATCTCCACAAGTGTGTCCGTGCTTTATCAAGTGGATGTGATAGTTCAAGCCTGTGGTTAACCAACACCACTAAAAACAGCACTGCTGCTTCCAAAAATGTAGTAACATTGAGTAACACTGAACTTTCCATAAATACTATATAGCATTTCCATGCAGTTAAGAAACTAGTTGAATTATTAAAAGTGAAATTGTAACGGGCTTACGTAGGCCATTAGCTATCAGGGTTGCCAGACTTCCCTCGTCTGGAAGAGATAGTATCTTGGCTTGGGCCATGGTTATTGTCTCTCTGGGCAGAAAGACTTCAGGAGGTTGGGTTGGCTGAAGCTGTAAGGAACTTTCCATTTCTTGATAGGAGCTAGTGGATGAAAAATGAGCAGCGGGATAAGGGAATGAGGGATGATGCTGACCCTGAGCCATGGGCTGAAGAGTGAGGGAGTAGGCTCAGGGAAAGGACAGCAGCAGCTGCTCAGGAGACCTGGGGAGGCTGGCTGGCTGCAGGTGCTGGGCTGCTTTACAGGAGAGGCAGGGCTGAGCCCTACCAACAATCAGACTGTGTTTGTAGCACTGCTGGGAGTTGCAGGAGTATCCTAAGGAACTTTGACACAAGTCCAGCCTCGTGCCTGCAAGGTCAGTGCCCAGGTTTGTAGAAGCATCAGGTGTGGGTCAGGGAGCAGGGACTAAACCTGAGTGTGAGTGCTGGCCTGAGCCACAGACATGGAGGTAATAAAATCTTCCTGTTTGGCTTTTGTAAGTGACAGTGCTTTCTGGGGTATAAATATGACTGAGCAGGGAATGGAAAGACTATGGCTTCATCACTTCAAAACACTTGAAGCTTTTCATCTACAGTTTTAAGTGTATTATCTTGAGATCTGGCTCCTATGGTTAAGTTCAGCAGTACTTCAACACGTGGGCTGATGGCTGGAGGTGAGGGGAAAACAGTCCAGGAATGAAACACAGGTTTATAACATGGCTGTAATTCACGTCCCATCCAGCTTGTAGAGAATCCTGATTGCCATGAGCACAGTAGTTACTGAAGTAGTAAGTAAGTAGTTACTGAACTCAGCCTGACAAGTGCTGTTGTCATCCTCGTGTCTGCCAGGTATGTGCTGAGATATTGCATTGAATCACAGCCTTTATCTTTCTACAGTTTACTGCCTAGAATGAGCTGCTGAATTTAGTCTTCCCATTGCTTTCCTTTTTCCTTGGCATATATGCATGATAGAAGTTTGTCTCGGTGAAGTAGACGCCACCTATACTCAAATGGCCTTGCTGTGAGATCAGCTTGTGCCCAGGCTTAATAGCAGAATAACCTTTCCTGGTTCTCGAGGGCTGCTGAGAACACTTCACAGCCCTGTGTGCAGCTTGAACTCCAAGCAGTGGGAGCGGATTAATCCAGCCATACTGCATCAATCCCCCTGGAAGGAAACAGGGGCCTAGAGGTGCTTTGCTGCTGGAGGACGGCTTTTGCAGTGGAGGCCTCTACCAGAGGCTGTTTCTAGGGTCTGTATTACCAATTTGATTTGCAAACTCTCCTTTTCAAGGCTGAATTCTTTAACCTCATGCTCTGTGCAGAGCTCCCTGCAGCCGCTGCCTTGTGCAGGTGGTAAGGCTGATGTTAGGCCTGGAGATTTCCCTCGCTGCTCAGCAGTACATGTTTTGTCATATCTTTCTGATGCAACCATTAAATTAACGGCTTCCTTTAAGTGCACTGGAGGCTGGAGGTTAACAGGATGTCAATAAATAAAACAAACTCTCTTAATGTCAGCATACAGCCCTTGTTATCCCTACTAGTCGCTGTGCCAAAACCAGAAAGGTGTTTGTTCATGCAGGATCCTATCCCTGGGCTGGTAGAAGCAGGCAGCACCCTTTCACTGGTTCCTGTGGCTTTGGGTCAGCCCCGGTCCCTTTCAGGCTGTTCAGGCGTGGAACAGTTTGACCCTCCTGGAGAAGCCAAAGTCCTATTTGGAAAAGCTCTTTGTCAAGCTAATTCAATGCTTTTTTTCTGGTGTTTATAGTTATTGAGCAGATTAATACTGGTAAATATTAAATAGGGTCATCTGGAAGGGAACAAGCACTAGCTTTTGCCAGCAAACCACTTATGCACATGCTTAGAGATAAGCACTCCTATTAAGGTAAATGGGATTGCTCGTAGGCTTGGTGTTGAGCATATCCTTAAGGTTTCTGGCTTTGGAAGAACTTATGAAACTCACCGCTTGAAATCATCCTCTTATCCTTAATGAACGGAAATTCAATTCTAATAGGGGAACAGATTTTCATTAAACAATTTTTAAAATTACAAAAAGGTGAAAGCCAGGATGAAAGAGGAAATGACCTAATTTGAATGCCATAAAATGGCATTCATAACTTCCAGAAAAATTCCCAAATTCCTGTCTGATCTTCCAACCCACTTGAAAGCACTCAGGGCCCCGGCTTGCCTGGCAGGCTGGCTCGGTGCACGGGGGAGCAGCTCAGCACGTGGGGTCTTCAGGTCCTGGGGTGAGGGTCCTGCTCAGGTCTGGCTGGTGCAGGAGGGGCTCTTCCCATGTTGGATGGGCTGGGGTAAGGTGAAAGCAGGGTATGAACTTGTCTAGTCAAATACGTAGAGCAACATCGCTCGCTGGGAAGCAATGGTCTGGGTGCAGTGAGTGGTTATTGTATGTGCACCTCGATCATGCAGGAGCTTAAAGGATCCAAATTTCAAATTACAGCCCTGTTCTGAATGTTGTCACAAAGTGATGCCTGCGGAGAGAATTCATATTAAAGCACATCTGACCTTCTCTTGCCAGTAATAATCCACAAATGTGCAAGACCTAAACCAGGTTCTGGTTTGGCACTTGTGACGTTGTCCCCATGAGAGATGGGTGAGGTGTTAAAGCACGATGCTCTCCCTTTGCAGGAAGGGACGTGAAGAACCATTAAGAACTTGCTGCCGTGCTGAAGCAGTATCAGCACTATTTTATTTATTTTTTTTAGAGAAGTTCAGCACAAACTGACAGAACTCCCACCCTGCTCTGGGGGAAGGATATAATCCTGCCCTTCCTTTGGCAGGGGTTTGGCTTTTTGTAGGGTGCAGTGTCCCCAGCTGGGGGGCACAGGAGGTACATGCTGGCATCTACCTGTAAAGGAGGAAAGTAAATTACCGGATCTTGGATGTGGATTCCTGAACACTAAAAATGAGCAGGCTCTGCTACTGGGAAAGGCAGGGGAGGGAAGGGGGGAAACGTCTGCCCCGGGGGCTGGTGGAGCAGCACTCCCGCTAGCAGTGATCTGCAGTGTCAGGCTTTTAACCAAGTCATTAAAATCTTGACTTGAGCCATGCTGGGGAAGGAGTGCCTGCTGTTCACCCAGCCACAGCGATGGGAAAGGGCCTGCTCTGCTCCCACGTGCAGAGGGGGATTTACGGGGGTAGAGCCGCAACATTTGGCAGGCGCGTGCGTGAAATTTCAGGTTACCTGTGGGCAGCTGTTGCTTGTGCAGTGGGTGTTTTATATGGCTATTTAATTGCACATTGCTCAGCTCTAAGTGAGCACAACTGACGTGAATAACCCCAGCAACGCAAATGCTGCTGCCCCCGAGATAAAGGGCCGTGTTTGAGAAACAAGTGCCGAGCTGATAATGCCACTGGCCTCACGGGTTTTGTGAAGTCTGTGCTATTTAGCTCCGATAAAAAGGAAAGAAAGGGGCTAGTTCTTAAAAAATAACCCCCAAAGCGTTTTAAGGACCTTTTTCCCTTTTCTATTCTTTTCCCAGGTTGCAAAAATAACATCCAATAATGAAATGAAAACAAGCTGAATGGCTGCATTCAGCGGAGGAGGGCAGAGGTAGGCTCAGACAGCTGGAGCATGTCTGGGCCAGCGTCTCGCTTCTTTTCTCACTGCTCGTTCAGTGCCACTCCAAGAATGCAGACAATGCTGGCTACGACTGTTTCATATTTGATTTCCACACTTAAATCCGTGCTCGTTAAATGAAACCCCATTGTCAGGTTGGCAGACATCCACGCTGCCTCCCCAGGTCTCACTTCGGAGCTCGCTCTGTGGTGGTGTCCCGCTCGGAGCGACTTAGCGAGGACCAGGCCTGGAGGAGCGCTGCCTGTGGCACTGCAACAAACCCTTTTGGACTGCTTCTGCAGCCACATCTGTGGGTAACCCTCATAAATCTTCTGTCTGAGGGCAGACAGAAGTGCTGCAGGGGAGGGATGGGGTTTTGGAAGGGCCTCAAGAGCGGCGGATCAATGGGGTGCTCGGCTGGAGGCAGTCTCGGGGCAAGGTACCGGCCGTGCTGGGCCTGGCCTGCAAAGGGCCAATATGGCAAATATCCTGCTCCAGGAGGGGTGCTGGGGGTGCTCCTGGGCTGGGTGAGGCCAAGGCTTTAGGGTTTTGCCAAGCTGGGACCGGAGAGTTCAGCAGTCGCAGGGCTTTGCCAGCGGGGTGCAGGGGTGGTGGAAATGTGGGGAGGGCGGGCAGAGAAATGCTGTGGATTGGGAGCAAAGCAGCGCCTGTGTTAATAACAAAGGATCACTTCATGCTCTCTGTAAAATACCAGGGAGGGCATGAAAATTATGAATATTATTAATAAAGCTGAAGGGATTACAAAATCCAACAGCTGTCCAGCCCTTCAGACAGACACTCCGGCCTCTCTGCTGCCCACAGACTGGTGTCCCGACTGCTGTGTGCCCAGCTCGGGCATTGCTGGGGCACTGACTGCTCAACGGGTGCCAGCAGCACCTCTCAATGTTAAGGTTGGCACCTACGGACAACACAGCTGTGCCCCACGGTTTGTGGGGGAATGGATGGGAAGAGGCTGTGGGGCGTGAAGCTGGAGCGGGAAGAAGCGCTGGCTGTGCTCTGACAGCAGCCTCTTCGAGTGCCCCAGAGGAGCCCACTTCTGGGCTGTTGGCATGGAAACACCGGTATTTTAGTGGACTCGAGACTGGCTCCCAACAAAGGTTAAAGGGGGAAAAAAAAACAAGGGACTGGAGGTGTGAAAGGTGAGATCTTCCTTAGCAGAGAAGCACTTGTCAAGGTCTGAACCAGCAGTGAGTCCTCTGGCTGCGTGGGGCAGAGGAGAGTGATGCTGCCTCATGGCAGGAGCGTGGTGGTGGGTCCTGGCTCTCCTCGGGGTCACCTGAATGCCTGTCCCTTCTGGTTCTGCTTCTCCCATCACCTCCTGTCCTCCCACCGTGGCTGTCAGGATGCTGCTGCCTGCGGCTTGATGTGTGCTGAGCAGTGACAGGCTTGGGCACCTCGTCTGCCACGCAGGTGCTGGCTCTGTCTGCTCCGTGTGTTAACGCCAGTGCTGTGCTCTCAGCTCTTAGGAAGAGCAGAAAGGCAAATCTTCATGTTCTGATTCCCTTAATGTCAAAAGCAAAGTAACTTCCGTGAAGTTTTGATCAGCCCTTAAAATCAGAGGCCCTAGCTAGGTGTGCTACAGTCGTGTCCCTTTATTTGGAATGATGCTGGGATGTAAGGGGTAAAATAGGACAAATTGCTATTCCATAAAGCTATTTAAACCTGGAATGGTGCACATGGTTTCAGGGCAGGTGTTGAAGTGCAGATGTGGTGCAAATGCATTCAGGATTTGTCCTTGTACATCTTTGTCACCCTCCTGGCTGTTACAGCTTTATGGGGACAATCAATCCCCCTTTCCCATCACAGCTCACATTTAAGTGTCCCAGCTGGAGCAGTCTCATTGTGAGCTTGATCTCAACAGCAGAAGCAGTGCAGAATATGGCCAGACTTGAGCACGTGTCCAGGACCTGCAGGGCCAGGTGGTACCACTCTGACTGTACTGGGTCTTTGCAGAGGTTTGGGAAGGCTGTGTAGGGGAATGGGACCAGGACTGCCCAGGTAGTTGGTCCCAGTGATCCCAGCAAGCGAGTAGTAGCAGTATGGGCCAGGGAGAAGAGATGGGATGGCAACAGCAAACTTGCACTGAGGAGCCCATGGTGCTCCGTGTGCCCAAGGCAAAACTGTGGCCTCCCACTGAAATGGAGACAAAAGCACTTTATCGCTTTGTGACCTGCTGAGAGAATTAAAAAAAAAAAAAAAAAGACACTGAAACCTCTCAAGTAGAGCTTAATATATTTGTATTTCTTCATTTCCAGCTTGGAAAAAAAAATCTGGGTTTTATATTTTTTATATTCCTTTCTTTTGTGTCCAAAAAGAGATGTGATGGTAAGGAAAACTTAGTAGCTTGAAAGTCATGAACTTATTCATGAAAAATGTGGATTTTTACAGGGAGGGCAAAGCCAATGAGACAACATTTTACTAAAATATTAGGAGAATAAATTGGAGCAGGTATACTTATACAGTTGTCATATAAGTACAGTGGGTGGCCTTTAAAGTTTAAGCTGCATGCTTGACTACTAATAAAGCTCCTCATTATAAAACAGAAAATGTGATAGAAACTGGCAGAACTACTGTGCTGCTGGGATATTTAATGTGCACCCTCTGGAAGCCCTGCACAGCACATTTGATCCAAAATATTAGCAGGAAAAGTACATTTCCCTTTGAATGGATTTCCTACATTAACTCTGCCGTTCCCTTGCTGCCTCCTGCATGTGACACCATATAGAATAGCAGCATAAAAGTACCAGGCATCTCCACATCTGCTCTCTGTCAGCTAGAAGGATGAGGATACCGGCAAGAACAGCCTGTGGATGGGGGAAATGTGTGGTTACACGCAGGGACTGATGTTGGAGCATCGCCCAGTCGGTGAGCACTTGGTCCTTGCCACCTCCTGGATGTGGAGCACCCGCTGTTGGCACCTCGTGCTGAGCTTCCCACCTACCCGAGCAGCTCTGCCCAGCAGGGTTTGGGCATGGCTGAGGTCACATATGGAGTTAGGGGATGGAAAAGCTTTGCTCGGCTGCTCACAACCTCCCTGCAAGGCTCGGTGCAGCCGTGCCACTGCTCTGCACAGGGAGCTTGGCCGGGTGCTGAGCCCTCGGCACCCTGCCTCTCGTGGCTCCTTCTTGTCCTGGCGCGTCCCTGCCCTGGAGGGGTTTGCTGTGGAGCCAGCTCCGTCCTCTGTGCCAGCCGAGAGGCTTTTCCGTGCTGGGGAAGCCTTAGAAGAGCTTTTAGGAATAATTTGAATTTCCTTTGATCCCGCGGCTGTGCAGGTACAGAAGTAATGCTCTTAGAGCAAGCACCGACTGGCTGCTCCTGGGAGGGGAGCTCTCTTCTTCCATCTGGCGTCTCCCTGGTGCCCCTGGAGGTGTTCCTTCTGCATCACCCCTTGCTTGCCACCCAACCAACCAGCGGGACAGAAAGCTCCCTCGGCTCACCCAGTGCTCAGAGCAGGCACAGCAGCGGCAGAACCAGGGCTGTGGCTATGTGCATTCAAGACCAGTTGGGAGCTTCCTTGGGGAAGAACCTAAAATTCAGCATTTTGTGGTCACAGGCGTACTGCGACGTGCTTCTGTGTACAGCATGGCTACAGGCAGGTGAGGTTTGCTATTTGCTGCCGAAAAGCCAATGCAAACTGTTTTGTGCAGCTCTGTTTGCAATTCCTGTGCTCCTGAGCTACCTTGGGGTGCCGAGCCGCTGTGCTGGCACTGACACCACCACTGTGCCTGCGGTCAGGGCTCTCACCCCCAAAAAAAAAACAGGGAGCAGGGAAGAAGCCCAGATACCACAGATGGGAGTGCCTGAAGGAAACCCCATGCAATGCAGCACAGCAAGGAGGGTTATCAGGATTATTTTAAGGTCTGCTTCACGCTGCTGTCAACACTCTGCGGGAGGAATTTATTTGGGTTCAGTTAATCACACAAAGTGCTGTCAAAGGCAGAGACTTGGTTGCTTACCAGGTCTCCGTTGGGGCAGGGCATGTTTCTTCCCTGCCCTTCTTTCAGAACCAGTTTTGACTGGGGCGAGGATCTGCATTTCTTAGGGTGGGCTGACACAAGCAGGCAGCCTTTCATTCATTTAAATACACCAGCAGTCGCTCTGGCTTCCAGGGAGTAATCTTTTTTCCAGTGGAAGCATCTTGGACCCACATGTATCCTAGCTCCTAATTTCAGGAGGGTGAATGGAAAGAAGTGAAGATGTGCTAAAAGCAAGAGCCCGTAGTACGAGGACAGGGAGAACGGCACGCTCGGGGCTGGAAGTGCTGGGGCGATGCCGCAGAGTATCAGCGCGGATCCAGGACCTTGAGCAATGTTGTCCTGCGGTTTGAGTTCCATTCTGGCACACTAAATGCATCAGGGCCCAGGTTTTTTTTCATGGCACTTTCCATTTATGATTTAGGGAATTTGAAGAATACTTGTCTTGAGGCTGAGCCTAAAGTTATAATCTTGGCATATCCATACCATAAAATTCCCGTGGATAAAAGCAGAAACATCTGGATTCATGAGTGGATGTTGGCTAAATTTACCAGGAAAAAAAAAGCCTTCAAGAGATCCTAGAGGGTTCTAGCCAGAATAAATAATACAACAAAATAAGAGTGCTATTAAGAGTAATTGTAATACTGAAGCTGAATTATAAGACAAGGGCCAAGCCCTTTTCACAATCTGCTTTTCCAGCTAAGAGCCCTTCAATTTACACTTAACGCACATGTGGCTGATGGAACAAAGAAAAAATTGAAGAAGGATGAAAGCAACACAGAGATTATTCAGCCTTGCTGGTTTAGCTCCAGGCACATCATTTAAATGAGTAGATGATCAGTTTCCAGTTTGTTTTAAATTCTCTGGCAAGAAATTTTACTCTCAATCCCAAACTTGGATGTGCTTGAAACTATTTTATTTTATTTTTTTACAGCTCTGCCATTTTGTTTGATTTCTTAAGGCAGGACTTTAAAAGCACTCTGCAGGGGTCACCTGAGTGCTGGGACTGGAGGCACAGCCTGGCAGTGTCACCGAGGGAGCCGTGTCCCCGATCCCAACCCAAGAGGACCTCAGGCCTGGAGAACAGCTGCTCCTTGCCTCCCTCACCCCTGGGAGGCTGTGAGCCCAGCCCTGCCAAGCCAGATGTCAAACCCAAGCTTGGCAGCACCCGAGGTCAAGCGAGGTGGTCTCAACAGCTGTGTTCCTCTTCAGCTGCACCCTGTTGTACCAGCACTGCTCGCTGGGCTTAAAGCTAGTGCAAATTGTGTAGTGTTTGCCCCTTGCATCTTCTCCTGGTGCTTTCAGGGTTAAGAGCTGTTGGAAATCAATATTCTTGCCACCTTTCTGCTCTGTCTCTGCTCTCCTCCACGCACGGTGCAGCAGGTCTTAAGCCTGCCCGAAGCTGCCACGAGGAGCAGGCTGTGCAAGGTGTCTCCTCAGCTGCGACCACATGTACTGACAGCCACAGCCAGGTGATTGCAAAGTAACCTCCCTCCCCAGCAGATGCAGATCAGCATTTCTCATTAAATAGACTTTGTCCACGTAGATGTGCATCACCGACCATCTCTGACCCTGCACGCTGCCATTCCTGATTCCTGGAAAGCCTTGGGCGTTTGCCTGCTCTGCAACCTTCCGCCAGCACAGCTTGGGCTGAGTAGCTTCCTTGTGGGCTGAAAACCTTCCTGATCAGTCCTCCTGGCCTCCTTTCCTGGTGCCCTCATCTCCTCCAAGCCGGAGTCTGCCTGATGGAATAGCTGCTGAGGGAGCTGGGCTGGTGGCACCCTCTGGCAGGTCCTTCTCCACTGGAGAAATTCCAGGTTGTTCTCCATGAATATGGTTCCTGTGGCTCGCTGCCAATGCTTAATGCTCTCTGGAAGCTGCCACGAGGCTCTGGTGGTGGATACCCATCTGGGGCTAGTCACTGCTTGGAGTACGACTGCAAATACCAGCGGTACACAAGAGGCGATATTTGCACTGCCTGGTGCTCCATACAAGGAGCAATCCTAACCACACAAAGGAGTGGGAGTTCGTTTGCCCTTAAAATAGCCTCAGCACATCTAGGAAAGCCATAAAATGCAGTGCTCTGGTATTTCTTAGGGCATTATTTTCAGCAGATTTTATTTGATTTGCTGCCAACATCTGTCACTTCTGCAGCCTGTGTCCGAGCAGGGAGCTGGAGGTGTGCTGCTCGCCTGATGCAACAAATTGCCTTCTATTAGCGTGGCACAGCATCCTGACTGTCAAAGCGAAACGGGGAAATGAATTTGCTCATAGATGTTACAAAATATTTGTTTTAGATTAGCTGCTATCGCTGCCACGGACCGCGCTCGCAGCTGTGTTCTGCTGCCCAACGTGAGGCTGGCAGCGGGGAGATCTGCTGAGACTGCAGGGCTCTTGGTGAGGAGCAAACAGGCTGAGGAGCTGAGGAATGAGAAACGAAGCAGAGCTAAATTTAGAGCCTCAGATAGGGAAATATCTCCAGTGCTCCGTGGCTTTATTTTGCTCTGCACAAAGCACACCTTGGTGCTGCGTGGCTGTTTGCAGATTGCGCCGGCTCAAAGAAGGCTTTTGCTTGTGGAAAGAAAAGGCTTTGATGTCTTCAGTAAACAAATAGCAGCGCTAAAAGACCTGCAGTTCTTGTTAGCATGCTGCAGACAGCGATGTCTGAAGCCAAATAAACATCCCAAGGTTGATGGAAGGGTAGGCAGGCCGTAAAGTGCTGTAGTCGAATCCTTGATACGAGCACATCAGGGATGTCAGAAGGGAAGTGCTATGAAAGGGCTGCCTTTGCTTTCTTCTTTTGGGTTAAAAAGAAAATAACAAACTGGTGCGTGGTTTACCAGCCGTGTGGCAGGAATAAATGACTATAAAACCCTGTGGCTAAATCGTTTTTGACCCCCTTTTTGAGCCAGCTTCACCCACTGCCATGGGGGCCCCAGGACCTCATCACAAAAACCTGATTCATTTGGGCACCTTGCAGAGGGTTCCCACGAGGAGGCAGCAGGCGTGCGGCGTGCTCTTGGAGAATTTCACAGCCCTGTGGCTGCCTCAGCTTCTGCTCCGTAAGGCTCGTTGTGCTTGTCTTGTGTCACTCAGAACAACTTGGGAAACGCCAAAGTTTGGGGAATGAACCAAAGCAAAGAGCTAAACGGCGATCTCAGTTATACCAGCATAGCCCTGGGGTTGTTAATTTACATTTAGACAGTCTTAACAATCTGAATTTGGTTCAGAATGAGGAAGTTCAGACTTTCTGTAAATGGAAATTGGACATCAGCAGGCCATGGTAATAATCAATACGCCGATATTTGCTGCAGCTTTAAATCTTAGCAAGAGCCTCTCGCTTTAGTTTCATGTAATTCCATGCACTTCTCTCTTTAAAAAGAGTTTGCAGGAGCTAAGAAATAAATAATTCAGACATAGTTGATTTTTTTAAGTCTCTGTAGCATCCCTGACATCTTTGATAAAGCTTTTGTTCTGCCTACCAAAGCTCCTTTCCAGATGGGACTGGTGAGGCAAACACTCTGTCCAACAAACAAAGGCTTATAAGAAAAAACAGGAAAAAAGCAAAAATTCCATTAAAAAAAGCACTTATAGTCCCAAAGGTAATAAGTATCCCTCTGGTAACTTCATACAGGCTCTTCACTGTCATTGTGAGCCTCTGCCTGCCGGATTCACAGGCAAGGGTTTGCAGCTGAAGCCAAGGCAAGGACGTTTCCTAATAAACAGAAGCTCCTTAGAGACTGTAGCCATGGCATGTGAGAGCTGTTTACCTGGCACCAGAAAGCACTGTGCTGTTTATCTTCAGATGTTCCTACAGAAACAGGCGGTATTGCAGTGTATTAAAGAAGGCCCCTTCACCCCCAGGAATATGTGATTTTTTTTATTATTATTATTTTATTTAATCTCAGTTATTGCCCTTTGCTTTTGGCTGCAGAAAGCCCATTTTGAGGTTTCTGAGTTCGTCCTTCACCTGCCTTCCTGGGGGACAGACCACCTCACAGCACGGAGAGGCAGAAACCTGCTGCCAGCAGCCATGGTGCTGATCACCAGCCCTGAACCTGCCCACAGCCAGCATGAAACCAACACCCTCGGTGCCAGCAGCACCTGTAGGACATGGCTACGTCCTGAGCAGGACCGCCTTCTTCCCAGGGGGAGTTATTTTGGAGTGAAAGCATTTGTAGCAGGGACATTTGGAGGCCTCGGATCTGCTCCTGGTGGCGGGCAGGCCTTTATGTCAGAGGGATTAGCAGCGGGTGCCTCCCAGTGCTCATCATGCAGGAATCCCGTTTCTCCCTACCTGCAACAGCAAATGTTTTGATTGCAAGAGCCGAAGCAATCGTGGTGTGTACTGTATCACCCACAGTCCCCAAGGCACTCTGCACACTCCTTCCAGACCTCTTCTCCCCAGGGAGCTACAAGGGACTGGGATGAGCTGCTCACAGCTGGGGTAAACCAGCTGGAACCCCGCGGGCATGCTGGTGGCTCCCCAGGCCTCTGGGGTGTTGGTGTCCTCTCCTGACAGCAGGGGCGGAGAGTGGCAATTTTAGCAAATGGTGACTTTACCATTGAATTTATGCCCCTCAGGATCCCACAATACCTAATTCACCCTGCTGGTGAACTGATTTATGGCATAGCAGTGGCCGCCTGTGGGGAGTGTGTTTAGTGAAGTAACGCTGACCCTCTCTATCAAACATTATTCCCCTTCTAGTTTAATTAAAACACAATTAGCAGAGCTCTCAATTCTGTTAAATATGCGCAAGCTTCTACTGAATTAATATTAATCTCTGTTCAATGTGCAAGTCAGTTAAGTGACATGTGGAAAATTACACGTTACTGACTCAGGAATGCAGCTTGGAGGATGACTTCATGTTCCTGAATGAAAATATCGGCGTGCCAGATGTGCCTAGTGCCTGACCCCTTCGGAGGCTCTGAAAGATCACACGTAGCTTTAAAATGTAATTTCATGCATGCAGAAGGAAGAAAGAGAGCCTAATAGCTTTATGGGACTTAGCTCTCCATTTAATTTGGTTAGGGCAGTGTGAATGTCTTAATAACATGAAGCAGAGCTCTGATCCCTGTTCTGCCTGAGTGTTTCCAATAGACACCCTAATGCCTTTCTCATGGTCAGAGCGGCTAACAATCCCTATTTGCTTGTTATTAGTGAGAAGTTGCGCTTCTTTCTTCATTAGGGAACGAATTTCACAGTGGGGCTGACGAGTATGTGGTCCTTGCTTTGAGTCACTGACTTTTTCATGAATTGTTTTATCTGGAGATATAAGCAACAGATGTGAGTATAGAAAAAAAAAAAGTTGTGCTTTTAAGTTACAAAAATAAGGTGGCATTCGACCTTGCCTCTGCTCAAATGTCCTCGTTTTCCCCTGCCCGACTTCTCGTTCCCAAAATCCTACTGAAAAGCATACTGAGAGCGATCCAGGTCTGCCTTCACTAGGTGTGTCCCCGTAACAAATTATATAACAGCATTTTGGAGTCTTGTACTCTGCCTCTCCCCCAGTGCATTCCACGCACCTACACAGCCATGCTAATTAGCTCATGTAATGAACTTAAACGTGGCAAAAATCTGTTTGCAGGGTGTTGCCAGACAGAGCTGGATTTGGAAAGCAGCCATTCGTGGATGTTTTCTTTGACAAAACCCAAAGGATGTTATTTTCCTGAAGATGAAGCAGAATCCATGTAATGAGAGCTGTAATCTATGAGACAAATGATTTTACTTACAGTCATCGGTGACCTTCCCCTACAAGGGCTTGCTTGTACGGGGAAAAACTACTGAAGTTTAATGCAAAGTCACGAAAAATGATTAAATTAAAAATCTGAACTAATGTGAGGCTAAACCTAGTTTAGCCAAACTTAACTAATCAAAACTAGTGCTATTCCACAATGTGTATCTACAAAGAGTTATCAAGGAACTCAACGTTGAGCGTCAGGTGTCTTTTAAATGTAAAGAAGTGTCTGCATGCAACACAGCGATGGGTTCCCCGTGACCCTCACCCAGTTTGCCCACAGGGTAAGCTGTGCCTGACAGCGATCCTTGCAGTCCCAGGGTGATACAGGGGAGGGAAAATGCAGCACTCTGACACGTCGCCTTGGCATTGCAGCCTTGCGTTGCATGCTCGTTTCTCTACACGTTTGACAGTGAGGTTTAATTGGGCCCAGTTTTCACAATGCAGTAACATGACCGGCTGTCGGGTGGGAATTACTCTCTTAAGCCCAGTTCCGAGGGCTAAAATTTCAGTTCAGATCATAAAATTTCAGCTTTGGCCACCGTCGCACTGAACTGCTTTGAAAGCTGTAGGTCTGCTGTGTTGGCTCTTAAATAGAACCGCAGTAATTTTCCTAACGCTCCGGGCAGACGGAGAGCATTACCAGATGACCACACTTCTGCAGGGGGACGAAGACAGGGGCACAGAGCGTGACGAAGGGCTTGGTGTGAAACACGGGGCAGAAGGAGACGGCGTGGAGCCGAGGCTGTGCTGCGTGGTGCTGCGGTGGGCCAAGGAAAGCCGCTTGCCCAGGTGCGGATTTCATCCAAGTGCCATTAATGAGCACGCCGAGAGCTTGCAGCTATATCCCTGACCAACACTAGATGTTGCTGTGCTGCTACTCATATAAGCTATACATTAGCAAGGCTTCCTGAACGGTATTTACTGCTATTTCCTCTTTCCTGTTTCTGTTACTCACTCTGTTCTCGATGTTGGGGATCTGCTACTTGAATTTACTTAAAAAATAATAATAATAATATTTTATTCCTGCAGTATCAAGGTTACAACCCCCTTGAATGTACACGTACAAACTTTAGGAGCAGCAGAGACATAAGCGAAGCGAAGCAGCTCCTATATTTATGTCAAATATTTACTTAAACTCTGCTTCTGGATTTTTTGCAATCCGAGGGGAATGACATTGTTAACTGGACGATTCCGGGAACAGACTGACAGCTGCAAGGCCATGGAGGGAAGTTTGTTTATAAGGGGAAAATAAATAAAAAAAATTAAAAACTGTTTAGCCCGGCTGGGTTTCAAGCTTTCTACTCCCACATGTTTGAGTGGGAGAAAGGACAAATCTTAGGACGTTGATTTCCCCATGGCAACAGAAAACGGAAATTACTTTAACCCCATCTAGTGACAGATGACTCATTGCTCAGGCTGCTGCTATTTTCCAAGCACTAAAACAATACAGCTGCAAAGAAAAGGCCAGCCTGTATTATCTCATAGGCTGAGCGCTGGGGCTCGTGGGAGAGGGCAGTTCTCTGGCTGCCTTTTTATCAAAGAAAGACAGAGCTGGAGCCTTTCGGCGACTATTTCATTGTACAGCACAACCACAAGCTGATGTGCCTGGGTGCTCCTTGTCCCTGAGCCACTGGGATGAGCCACGGGCAAGTGTCCCACAGCTCATCCCTGCTTGCCCTGCATCCAGCCATCCAACAGGGCACATCAATGCTTTGAGTTTAAACACCCCCCTTGAATGATGCGCCGTGAACTCAGCATGCTACAGATTAATAATTGGTTAACCGATGCAGCCTGGTGCGCAGGCAGCAGGTATAAGCAGGGTTTCCAAGCCTCTGCAGATGAAAAAGATATCTGATGGTGGAAGTGCATTTCTGTATTGCTCAGGAAGTCATAACAAGATCCCGCATGTAGAGGCTGGAATAGAAATACTCAGCTTTGAAAGCTGAATAACCCTAGCAGAAAGTGTAATTGGGTGGGCTGGTTCCTGAGCAGGGACGGTGGAACCATTATCACTTGGAGCCCTTACAGCCTGATGAGGTGTGCTCTGCGAGGCGAGCTGTAAGCCAGCTGCTGGGACAAAGAGGTGAGCTGTGTCTGGGAGGTCAGCCTGAACGGCTGTGCTTGTCCTCTCGCACCTTAGACCCACAGCATCAGAGCTGCACTGAGCTCCCCACGCACCGATCAGCCCCAATTATTTCTGCTGAGCATCTCCAGTCCCTGGGCTCCTCCTGCTCAGCACCATCAGGACATGGCAGAGAAGGACCGCATTGGAGAGGAGCAGGTTGAAGGTCGTGGATTCTGGGGTTCCTCATACATCTCTTCCCTCCAGCAGACCAATGCAGGAGAGAGCCTTGCTCAGGTTGGTTTTCCCAAGCCCTGGTAAGGATTTAGTGAAGATTTAGTAAGGCTCCGGTGCATTTTGCACTTATAATATTACACCACTAGTTCTGTTGAACAGTGAAGGTATTAATCATGGGATCATAAAATCGTTTGGGTTGTAAAGGACCTTAAAGACCATCTAGTTCCAAACCCCTGCCACGGGTGGGGATATCCTCTGCTGGATCAGGTTGCAGAAACCCCATCCAACCTTAATGTTGCCACTGAGATGATATGCTGAATCATTGGTCAGCCAGCATCACTTAATTCACCTTAAATTGGGGGCAGATGGCGCAGGGTTGGGAAATCCAGGACCCCAGCAAAGCTACATGACAGGATGGTGTCATGGGATATGTGACACAGATTCTTCCTAGGAAAGGCAGGCAGAATTACTGGTGCAATAGCTGATTCTTTACTAAGTTGTGTCATTTGTGTGCTGGTATGACTAATAATGTCAGCAAATTTCCTAACAGCACTAAATCAGGTCCATAACTTTCAATTTGGATAGTACAATTAACAGCAACAACAAAAA